AATTTGCCCCACGCGGGGAGTAAACTGATTAATCGCGTGAAAGTTGCATCGATTGGCTCGAAAATCTCCGCGTGCGCGCGAGAGAGAGAGAGAGAAAACTTTCTCGATCGATAAAAAAGAAAGTATCGTTACTAGCGGAATTAGAAAAATGGAATATAGGATGGATAGAATTAACCGAGCTCTCCATCTCGAGCGAGGACAACGTCGACGAGGCGTTTTTTTAAACGCACGGCACACGTGACAGTTTCCGCGAGGCGGACGACGTTTAATTAACTGGAGCGCGGAAGAGGGGAGGGGAGGGGCCGATGTTTAATTATGGAAAAGACGACGACGTAATTGTACGGTGTATTCATTTCGACTCGACGCCAACTTTGATCAAAATTCCTCCCGTCCTCCACTCCACTCCACTGATTACGACGTTAAAACGTTACTACGCTCGTTTCCCCCTACGTTACCAACGGGGAAGGGAAAAAAAAAAAAAAAGAAAAAAAAAACGATTTCACTCGCGCGGTGTACACTACGCGCGAGATAAAAAATCGTGGACGCTCGTCGAAACGTGAAATTTCGTAGTAATTGGGTAAAAGCGAAATTGGCGGGATATTTCCAGCCACTCGACTCGGCTTCTGGCTGCCAGCACGTTGCGAACGGTGCTTGGGACGAGAAACTTGGCCGAAATTCTCTCGGAACGTGAAACCATTTCCCACACCATGCAAACCTCTCTCGACGAAGCCACGGAGCCTTGGGGTGTCAAGGTCGAACGCGTTGAAATGTGAGTATACGCGTCCCAATCCTTTAACCGACGCTTCGAGAACCGTCCTCGGTCGGTAAAAACGATTGGCGGAGACGAGAGCTCGAACCGTGACCGATTTCGCTTCTCGAGGAAGATCGATGGCAGGAACGAGAGTCAACGATCGAAGGAAAAATAGTCCGTCTATCGATCATCGCGGGACGGACGAACGTATAAACGTTACGTTATCGACGTATAAAAGAATATCTCGTTTCGTTGAACTCGGTGGAAAGAAGTGGGTAGGGTGAAATATAACCCTTGATCGACAGCCTCGATGATAGTTCCACTCGATACGGCGAGAATTTCGTATTTTATCTCGAATCGGTAAGGAACGATCGTTTCTTTTCTCCCTATCCTATTTCAATTTTCCGATCGTTCTTAGAAGAACTGATATTAATTCGATCGATTTTAAGTATCCGTCGTTCCAACGTATGTCGACGTATATCGAGAAAACACACGTATTAGAAAACACTCTCGAGAAATGTTATAAAAATAAGATATTTAAAGTCTAAAACCGAATGAACGTTGCACAAATGTGACGCTATTCGAAAGACTATTTACCGTCGTAGAACAATACAATCGTTTATATTATGAGCTTCGAGCGAATGAAATCGATACGGTTTACTTTAGCTCTGTTCACGGCCTCTGATCGACGACCGTAATGATTCTAAACTGTATCGCGTAAATTCGATCCGATTCCAATTCTATTTTACTCTAACCGATCCGATCTCTCGACTCTCTTTCTTTTTTTTCTTTTTTTTTCCTCTCGTCGATCATTATTTTTCGTGAAAACGCAAAAATAAGAGAAGCCAAAAAACAAAAAATTTTTCGCGTAAAAAATAAAATCCAGGCTGATCCTTCTTCGCAAATTTTCGTCCTTTGGCTCGTAAGAAAACGAAAGATGGAGAAGAAAAAAAAAGTGACGAAATACTTGACCGAAGAAAAAGTGTGGCGCGCGTCGTGTTCTCTGGTCGGCGTACGCGGGCGCGCATAAACGCGAATACTGGAGAAAGCGGGTGAGGAGGGGGGGATCATAGCTCGACGAGACGTAACCGAAAAGGAAGAGCCCTTTAGTCTCGATGCTCGCATCGTCTCCGCGTTCCCCGATAGTCTCTCCCCTTTTTCTAAAGGGTGGAAAAGATTCGAGTATCCGGTGAAAAGAACCCTTTGAAACACGCGTCAAAGAGCTGTGCGGAGATCGTGGCGCGGCCCAAGTGCGCTACTTATCGTTGGGAAAAAATGTTTCTCGTCTCTCGTTACATCGGCGAACAACGCCCCCTCCCGTTTCGAACGCGAAAGCTCTGCCTCTATGCGTATGGAGTTGATGATTAAGTAGAAGAAAATTCTTGTCAAACGAATACGAAGGCAAAGTGCATTTTGACAGTTTTCCAGACGAGAAATATACGCGTCTTGTTTTCTTAAAAATGACCGATTCACCTGGCAAAATGGCGCAGACCATTTTTTACCTCGACTCAAAGTCGAAACTTTTCAACTCATACGCCACGAAGAGTTACGCGAGTAGCCTAGTCCTACTGAGTACGCAAAAGTTGAAAAATAATAAAAAGCGTAGATCCTCTCGTTTTTACTCTTTTCGAAAAACGAAATTCGAAATCTTATCCAATCGCGAAATGGAAATTTATCATCGACGGAACTCGTTTCCGCTTCAAATTCGAAACGACTGTTCGCTACGCGGAAACCATACGCTCCGATCCGAAAAACAGACAGCGACACACGTACATAAGAGAACGGATAAAACAAAGGAATCTTCTTTATTCCGGCCGTGTCCGTGGAACTTGGCCAAGAAATTCGAAACTATCCTCGAATATATCCGCTCTTACGCGCTCTCCTACACAGCGTTCCATCTCTCTCTTTTAAGATCGAGTCTCGTAAAAAAAAAAAAAAAACTAGTTTTCCATCCATGATCATTCGTTTCTTTCCGTTTCGAAAAGCGAAATCGTAAAATTATACGTAACGCGTATAATTTTATAGAGAGAGAGAAATGGGACAGAAAAATCGAATATCAATAAAAATCGATGAGATCTCGCGGTTCGTGAATCGGATTGTAGTGATAAAGAGAAACAGGTAAAGGTAGACGAAAGGGAAACGAAAGGAGTTGGAACGGATGTTCCTGATTTAGAAAGGACGTTCGGCTTCCGGTGCAGCTGCAACGAGCCATGGCCACGGAGGCAGAAGCCGCAAGGGAGGCTCGGGCC